CCCGCCCGGCAGACCTCGCGGGACAGAAGACCACCAATTTAGGTGTATGCCAAAGACCCTCTAGGACTTAAAGCAATCGCTTGGACCTCTTGAAATGGTAAGCAAATATTTATTTCACACAAAAAAAAGTGAGTAACATTTATTTCACAGCAAACAAAAGTTTTTAAAAAATAGGAACAACACCCGTTGAAATGAGAGAGAGCAATATTCAAATAATATTAAAAGGGAGGTGCAACATGATCAACCTTTTTTGAACCTTTCATCATATAATTGCGACCTCATCAACTTGAGATTCGAACACTGGCACGAGTGATGGTCCCTCTCAGCAGCCGGATACTCAGCTGTCCTAGTATGCGTCGACCACAATACCGCGTCACTGCCTTTTTGTTTGTAAGAGTCCATTTCCGTTTGTAAGAGAGAAACCTGCTTCTCAGCGTCTGCCAAAGTTTTCTGTTTTTCTAGCACTTGCTCCTCCTCCAGAGAAGCGGCGGCCCACATCTTTTCTTGCTTCTATCGAAACGCGTCAGCTCTATCTGTTCTAGTCTTCTCCAACTATTCCTCCCAACGCCTGTTTGCCCCGCGGACCATTTGAAACCTCCTCTTGGTCAGTTGCTCACTGGCAACTCCTCCATCTGACGACATGGCAAAGATGATTCGTTGGACAACCAGAGATTGTTTCTTCTAATTTTAAACCAGGCAATCTTTGTTGATAGAAAATCCTTGCTCGACAGATGCGTTTCTTTGCGAAAGGGTGAAGATCATTTCGGCAAAAGTGAGCCGTTCTTTGTTTGGACCACAAATTTGCACCCAAAGGGCATCCAGCCAATCCATGCTCCTGTCAAAATTTTTCAACGCTGCTTGCATCAATGACAAAGAACATACATGCCTGTAAGCCTGCATTGCCCGATCAGCCTCTGTTCCAGTCACCCACTGGTGTTCTTCACACTTCACACTTCAAGGGCATCAGTCAAACACACGCCTTTCTCCAAGCTCTGGAATCAGCGCGCACTCAGGATGTAGAGATGAACACCTGCTCGTCAGCTCAAACTGCAGTGACGACCTTTGCACAATTCTTTGTTTTTTGCACTATTCATCAAAAATTAGGCGCAGTCACTTCTCAACTGAAGGATAAAGAAGTCAGAAAGTTTGGGGCCTTTCTGAGCGCATTTTTTGTAGCAAAGCCAAGGGTGCCAGAAAATGTTTGCACTCTAGTCCGTATCTATCCCCATTAACTTCAATGAACTGTTCACTGTCATCATCACCTTTTTCTTTGAATTCTGCTCATTAGGGATCATAGAAGCCTTTCTAGCAATGTTCCGAGAAATGGAAGCAACAGTGTATGGCTCTAGAACTGGATCAGAAAAAACTGAAAAACTGCAGTTCTTCCGAGACACTAAGCATGAAGGTTAACTTCACGCACAGCCAAGGGTCGTGTATAGCTTTCTCAACCATGGCGCAACTGGCACACTTGTTCTCATTTAGACACGGCTCGACGAACACCTTTATGTACGGCAGTACCTCAAAAAACCTTCAAAGCACACAAATGGTTTTGATCCCCCGGGCGTCGCAAAACTTCAGCGGGTAAATGTTGCTTCCAGTGATGTGTGCATATTCAGCACATCGGGCAGGTGCACATTAAAAGAAATGGTACATAGCCCGCAAAAATTCCATGACTCGCCACCCTGTTTCCGCGTGTCCTGTTTTGAATGCACCGTTTAGAATGCCAAGGCCACAGCTACTAATTCCAAGGATTCGGCGGCCGTCATTCGCTTCACAAAGCTCCATTGACATCTGTCCATTGACATCTGTAAGATTCTCGGTCGTGAGAGCCTTTCCGTGGCCCTTTTAATGCAGACACTAATTCTTCAGCTCGAGTGCGCCCGAGAAAGCATGACATCAGGTCATGAGTTCTCATGTTTCTCTACATCTGACCAGAAGCACACCAATACGTTCATTTGCTGCTTTTGCACAACCTTGTTCAACGATTCATCAAACGCTATGACGATGTAACATGCTTGACTCGACTTCCAACACAAGGTTCTCTTTAAAAAAAAGGTGCGAGACCGTAGGTACCAGTACAACCCACCTTATCTCTGCCAAGTTGCACTTTCTGGGCTGTAGCTGACGATGGAAACATCAGCCAAAACAGAGAAGCGGACGCCGCAGGAGCACGTAATGATGAGTGCGTCATGACAGCATTGAGGCACAAGATGACTTCCGCATTAATGACCTGTTTGTTACATTGAAACAAATCTTTTGCTCTACTTGGTAGCTGGAAGTCTGTAGGCATAGTTGTAGCAGTTGAAGGCTGTGCAGATCCTGACGTCACTAGCCGTTTTAGTCACACTGGCGACCGACCGTCCACTTGCCGGCGGCATCAAAAATGATGCTACTGAGCGTGTCCCGGCTCCACTCACAACAAGTCGATGCTTTTTGCTATTGGCGTGGTTTTTCACAGCTCTCTTTCCTATGTTACTTAGTGAAAACTGTTTTCTGCACAACACATAGTTCGCTGCATTCACGTTCTTTTTTGAACGAACCTTATCTAAGCTGCACACTCAGAATGTTCCAGATTCGTACAGTCCTAGACGAAACTACACTTGAAATGCCGTCATACTACTTATACGAAAGTTGCCTGCAGCACCACTGCCGTGTTTAAAAAGCAGTCAGTTTAGATTCATGACAAAAAAACAAGAGACAGTTCATCACTTAGCAGCTCTGTCACTGTCACAAAATGAGCGCCCTATCGGGAACACGTGCCGCCTTTGAATGATGGAAAGCAGACACGTAATTAGAAGGTTTCACTTCAAAGCGCAGGTAATGGACAAACAACCATTAAAGACGGCGCGACAACGCGTCAGACACCGAGCTACGGCGCGTCATCTTCCTTATCCCCTGGAAACAGTTCCCGGTATCGCCTACAGAGACGGAGATGGATCGAGAGAGAAGGAATGACGCCGCTACTTGCGACGCCACCTTCGGCGGGATGTTCTAGAGAAGATAAGAAGCATCCGTAGCTTGTGCTGTGCTGTGCACAAGCGAAGCATCCAACCGAGACTGACTGCTTCCCGCTGCTGCAGGCTTTTATAGCCTTGCGCCCGGATTCCAGATGATTCTGGGGCCTTCGCTTGCGTACAGCATAAAGGAGGCTACGAACACTTCCAGTTCTTTGGGTACTTTCCGCCGAGGGCGAAGTCACAAGCCGCGACATCATTCCTTCTCTCTCGATCCTTTTCTTTTTTCTAGCAGATGCCGTCAGCTGTTTCTAGGTGGTAAGGAGGTTGACACACCGCTGCTCAGTGTCTGACATGTTGTTGCGCTGTCCTGAATGGTTGTTGTTTCGTTGTGCATGCTTTGAAGAGGAACCCACTGGCGGCGCGGCTGCCTTCTGTCATATGAAGGCGAAGTGTGCGCCTTAGCACTAGTTCTGTGACATACGGTAACAACCAAAAACGGATTTTAGCGCCGCTCCAGTGGCCTTCGTTTACAAGTTAGAGCCAGCATTACCGCGACTTTCGTTCCCTCCATGAAGCTTCAGCTGATTTTCCCTGAGGAAGCCCAAATCTCCTGAGTTTATTCTGAAATTTTCCAGACTAACCAAAACCTCTGAGATTTCCTGGTTTTTCCAATTTTCCCAGTTGATAAACACCCTGATATAAACCTTCACTTTTCAGCAAATCACAAAACTGCTGAAAATGAAAACCTTTTATCAGAGCAAAAACAAAAAATAAATACTTCAAGAAAATCGCAATATTGCAACAGGTTTTTTTTTTTTTTCTGTTGATAAATAATGCACACTGTACGCGAGAATACTACCTTCCTACCCAAATGTAGATGCGGAATCTGCTTTCCTGAAAAGTATCTCTGTCTGAAAGGATTTACTGCTTTGTTGTAGGTCACTGCACCTTTCAAGAAAATACCCCCACGTCTAAAGGACTTTAGAGTAATGTGTCAGGGGTCTTCCTTCGTTAGAGTGAATGCTTGTAGCATTAGTAAAGTTCGCTCATTCTTCGAGGACTTAGCACAAAAAATGAAGATGAGCGAAGCACTATGCAAACGCAGGGCATACTATCAACTGATTTTATTTGAAAAGCACACACATATATACATGTGAAGAAAGTCACGAGCCACATGAGCAAACAAGAATTCAATTAGTGACATGCACTCAAGTGAGCTATCTCAGGGGCAAGCAACATGATAGAGGGCCTCGCTACACGTGTCTCTCCAGATCTGTTAATAAGAAACGCTTCCTCAATGTCTTGTGCAACTTTCTCTTTTAATCTTGAGAGCCCCTTAACTTCTGATAGCAAGCGTGCACAGGCGCACTTCCTGCAATGTCAAGAAAGATTAGAACACGGTTTCCCCTTCAATGAGGCCTTACGATCTAATAATCTTTTATTCTTACACTGGCATGTGCCCGACATAGCAGTTTCCCCACGACAACAGTATATGATACACTACTGTAACATTACCCAACTTTAAATCTCAAATTCTGATTCCGATACTACTGCAGTCATTTTGCATTAGTCTTTCACTAACGATCACTTTCGGGCAAAATGACTAATGCCAAGCTAAAAATCAGCCCATGCACTACACTCATACAATGCAGCATTTCTGTTAAATTACAAATTGATAAAGCACTGAATATTTCAGCTGTGGGCTTTGTCCCAAATTCACTTCACTGCAGGAATTCGGAACATAAGCCTTCTTTTGTGGACACCTCAGCTTCAAATCTTGCTTCAAAATCACAGTCATGCACCTCTTTGCCCACTGCCGAAAATGTTGTAGACTAAGAACACCATTTCTGTAAAATGCGAAGCTGATCAAGCCTACTACTGCATTGTTTTACAAACACTTGGCATCACCTGTTGACTGCCAGCAAATGTCATCCTTGTGGTTTCATATTTCATGAAACCTGTCAGAAAAATGTTTTTCTGGTTTTTCAGAACTGCCCCTACACTTTCACTACAAATGCAGCCAAGCACACTAGCAACACTCACTTGGCCGGTGAGACACTGTCCTCTACCATGGTGGAGCCCTCGTCTCCATCAATGCCCAGGTGGTCCTTGGCCTTTTTCTGCACAAGTAAATGCACACCAGTGTTTCAATGTGACAATATTCTGCAGTAGTCACATCAGCCAGGCCTACACACCAATGCAACCATCGAGATTGCTGCTGGGAGCAAGTTTTGTAGAATTAAAGGGACTCTTCAAACACTACAGCTGTTTGACACTACTTAAAAGAAACCACTTATTGATTTTTTTTTTTTTCATTTTAATAAATTCAGTAGCTAGATGCACTTTGCGCAGTCTTCAACTTCGCAGCACTGTCATTACCTACATTACGTTCCAACTAGCCCTAACACAAGCTTTTCAGATTGCACAAGCGCTTTCCTAACATAATGTCTAGCCGATGCGTAATGAACCCACCTTTTCTATAGGAAAGTTGATGCCAATAGGGGGGTAAGGTTCATCACGCAGGAGAAAAAGGTCACGGGAGTTACATGAGTGAAAATTTAGTTTTACGGTCTTGCTCGTTTTGGCCAGCGAAATGTTAAACAAATCTTTCTGTAGCTCAAGGCTTTTGTTTTATCCCATAATGAACGCGCACGGATCGACGCCGTAGCGTCGTCCAGTCACTCTGTTTCCATGCTCCGGCGCATGCTCGACCAAATTTAGGTTTAAAACCAGCCGTGTAGCTAGCGTACTGGCCGAAGGCGCCCAGGCCAGCAGGTGCCCTCAACTAAGTTCACTATGACAACTCCAACAGCAAAAACACAGTATTAGATGGTGGCGTACTAAGGTCACGGGCAACGCACCGTCCACGCGGTGGGCGCTTTGCATGGCCTCCAAGATAGCAGGCGCACGGTGTGGAAACTCGCCGCAACGCACCCTTTTCATCTTTGAGGCCATGCATTTGTTTTTTGCTTTGTTGTCAGGCTGCTGTGCTTGTATGGCGCTATAAGCAAAGAGGTTTCTCCTGTATTCGACAGATGGCACTTTACCGAGACTTTTAAATTTTGATTAACGTCGTCCGCGTTCACGCTGCTCGATAGTTGTGAAACTATGCCAATACTTTTATTGCATTGTTATTTTGTGATATAACAGCTTGATTTAATATTGTTTCGATCGTCAAGAACCTAGCAGCATACTGAAATAGAATTAACAGATACATTAAAAAACTTCTTTTTTTATCTTTTTTTCAAGAACCAAGTTCGGGGGGGGGGGGGGGGGGGGTTCAATATGCAAGTGGACTCTTCACCCAAGTAAATACAGTAATCAGAATACTGTAGGTGGGCCCACTTTATCTCAATTTAATATACCATTGCAGGGTCAAGCCGTCAACAAAGGAAGTAGGATATTTGCCCAAGATGAAACTGTTCATTTGGCTAAACTGCTGGCCAATAAATGAAAACTCAGATAACAGCGATACACAATGACACTGATAGCAGCAAACCCAGCATCAGTCATCAATCAACTGATCATAGTTGGGACGTGCCGTCTTTTGTATACACACGTTGAACTTGAAAGGCTTATCATTGGTGGACGCGGAATCTCTGGAATGACCTTTGGCAGCGGCGACGGCGAGGAAAGCACGTCGGATAACCACTGCTGTGTTTTACAGACGCTGAATTCAAAAACCTGCTGTGGTGCCTTGACCCGAGACTACAATCGCCTGGACTGAACTTCAAATTCCCGCGCCCATTCCACCTGTCTGCCTGGAAGAAACTGCGTCATTTTACTGCGCAGATTATCAGCAAACTGCAGCGACACCAAGACAGAAAGTGACTTTGTGCGGGGGCGTGATTTTTCAGCAGGGCACTTTGGCAGCGGCGATGGCGAGGAAAGTACGTCGGATAACCACTGCTGTGTTTTACAGGCGCTGAATCCAAAAACCTGCTGTGGTGCCTTGACCCGAGACTACAATCGCCTGGACTGAACTTCAAAATCCCGCACCCATTCCACCTGTCTGCCTGGAAGAAACTGCGTCATTTTACTGCGCAGATTATCAGCGAACCACAGCGACACCAAGACAGAAGGTGACTTTGCGCGGGGGCGTGATTTTTCGGCAGGGCACTTTGGCAGCGGCGACGGCGAGGAAAGCACGTCGGATAACCACTGCTGTGTTTTACAGGCGCTGAATTCAAAAACCTGCTGTGGTGCATTGACCCGAGACTACAATCGCCTGGACTGAACTTCAAAGTCCCGCGCCCATTCCACCTGTCTGCCTGGAAGAAACTGCATCATTTTACTGTGCAGATTATCAGCAAACTGCAGCGACACCAAGACAGAAAGTGATTTTGCGCGGGGGCGTGATTTTTCGACAGGGCACTTTGGCAGCGGCGATGGCGAGGAAAGTACGTCGGATAACCACTGCTGTGTTTTACAGGTTGGTTAAACTCCTCATTCTTTTTTTTTTTAATGACTTTTCACTCACTGTAGCTGCTGCCAAGCGATTTTTTTGGGGGGACGACTGACTTTGGGGCTAAAACATGACTAAGCACTGCGGTTGCAGAGCTGAAATTGAAGATGCCGCGAGTGCTATTGTTTGCAGTGAGTGCAAATTCTGTTTTCATGATTCAGTGTGCTCAGACATGAGTTAACAGGAGTATGCTGAAAAGAAAAAGTCATTTAGGAAAAAGGCATGGAAGTGTGAGGCCTGCAGGCCGGGGGTATCAAAGAGTACCACAAGGCCCGCTGATCAAATAGGTGATGCTCAGCTTAAAATTACGATCATGGAATTGGACAAGAAATTAAATTCTCTCCTTACTTTTAATGAAAAGGTAAAAGGAATAGACAGGTCAATTGAGTTGCTGTCGGCTCACTTTGATAAAATTCAGGAACGCTTGAGTGGGCAAGACAGGGAAATAAAAAACGTAAAATGCAAGATCGACAAACTTGAGAAGGAAGACCCAGCTAAGGGTCTCGCCCAACTTCAGATCGATTTTGATAATCTCGAGTGGCACAGCCAATGTCTGCATGTGGAAACACATGGAATTCCTCATTCTACAGATGAAAATCTTTTAAATGAGATAAATGATCTTGCGAAAACTTTGAGTTTGACGGATTTGCTCCGACTGATATTTCCGCTATTCACAGGTTGGCATCAAGGCCAAGTAGAGAGGGTAGAGTGCCCCTTCGCTTTGTCCATCAAAACTTTCGAGATAAGTGGCTTTAAAAAAAATTCTTGAGGCAGGAACAACAATATATCTACATAGCCGAGATTATGATCAAGCGTTCCCAGGTGTTCCAGGTTTAGCGGCTAAAACCTGGACTAAGATAGTTGGCTATGACTTTGTATGGCATTCCAATAGGAAGGTCTTGGTGCGTAGGCAGAGTGGAGAACATGCGCAGGTTATCAGGTGTGAGAATGACTTGTCAGCGATGAGCAATTGATGTTTGTTCTTGTACTGTTCCGTGGTTTCTTGTTCTGTAAAATGGATGACCTCGGATATATTGCCATTCGTGAATTAGCGAAGCAGTTTGAAAATGTACAAAGAGGTTTTCTCCAAAGCTTTTATTTGAATGTACAATCAATGGGAAACAAAGTAACTGAACTCGAGTGTCTCTTTATTCAAATGAAAAGTTGTTTTGATGTAGTTATGCTAACGAAAACCTGGCAAACGGATATATCAGAAGAATTATAACTACTTCATATCAAAACATTCTCTGTTTTTCGGCCAAATTGGCGAGGGAGTGGTGTCACTATGCTACTCGAAAATTCTTACTCGGCTATATTGCTAGAAAAGCTCACTTAACTTACTGCTCAATAGGAGATATTGTGTTTAGTTTCAATATGTCGTAGCTGCTGTGTGTTACATGCCAACGGATGGTAACTTGTCTGATTTTTTAAATTTTTTTATGTTTTCTTAACATTTATAAATCAACATCAATACAATGTTATGTCACTAATCACTAATTTTAAAGAAAACTCGCATTTTTTTACCGGTAACTCTCCTTAAGTCGTGGCCAGTAGTATAGTTCCTGTATTTTTGCTAGCATACAGGAAACACCGAAGTGTCCAACCATTGAGTTGTTGTGCAAAGCCTGGAAGAGTTCTGGTCTCAGTGCTGAAGGAACCACGAGAATGTTGTGGGGGTGCTACCATCCGCTGTGAAGTCCTTCGCTCCCTGTGGTGCACACGTGTCTTGTAGATGGGCCGCATTTATGTTTAGCCGAGCGAAAAGTGGCATTGTGCTCGGGCACATTTTATCATCACCATCATGGTTAGCATGGTAGTGCTAGGAATGACGCCTGGCACCGAGGCTGGGTGGAGGCACATGAGACATAAGTGGCTCTTTGGCGCGTGGCGGCTGACATGGATGGTCGTCTCCTAACGGTGTCCCATGGCGAGCAGCAACCTCCGTTTGTGTATTGTGGGTCTCTCATAGTGAGTCGACCATCACCAATGCTTCCTTTTATGCGCTTATGCTGGGTGCTGGGTGGATGCCAGTTGTTATCAAGAGACCCATCAGGCCTAAGGCTCTGCAGAGCCGCCTGTCGATCATGACAGAACTAGTTGGATCGTGAAGTTGGAGCATTGCACCCTCCTTCCCTCATTTTATTATTATTATTTTATATGGCGATACCGGGGTTAAGAAAAGCAACCTTCGTTTTATTTGAGCTAGGCATCTCAGTCATCGGTGATGTTTTTGCTAGCAGTACTGATCCTTGTACCACATGGGCATTGTACCCAAAGCTCCTTTCTCTTTGCCCTACTGCATTGTTCAGACGAGTGTTTTGGGTGTTCGCATCTGGAGTGATGAAACCTGCGACTGGCTGTCTTCTACGCATCGTATTCGCTTTTGGCCAAGAATACGGTCGTGAGATCGGGCGATGGACATGCCTGGGACCTGCGTAACTGCCTGCAGTTCAAAGACCTCAAGAGCACTGGTCGCGACCAGAAGATGTGTTGGAGAGAGTGAGGGTTCCTTGTGCCAAAGGCAACATTGCGGTGGCAGGAGCGGCACTGAGGTGAAGTGGTCGAGCCGGACAGTGCAGCAGTGTCGACTGACTGCAATGTCCTGGTGCACCAACATTCTTTTTAGAACATGTGTTGTCATCTTCTGTTAGAGCTTGTGTAGCTGATCTCTTTCATGTTTTTTTTTTGGGGGGGGGGGGGGGGGGTGGAGATAGTATTTTAAAGTTGGGAGGATGCAGGAGCGCTATCACCCCCTGTAAAGTTGCTTACACCTCATGGCGCACAGATGTCCCGTGAATAGGCTGCATTTAGGGTTAAAAGCTATCGAGCAGTATATGGCACAGGGTCTACCATCATCATCATTGGGATTAGGGCGGACGCACCAGGAGCAACACCTGGCGGCGAGGAAACTGGCGGCACATGAGATGTGATAGGCTCTTTGGTGGCAGCGGCTTGCACAAATGGTTGGCTCCCGCTGTGGCTCCACAAGGACGGCACTGCCTTCACACTGCCTTGTGTTTGTTGTTAGCTTGATTGAGTGTATTTGGAATATTTTAATAAGGTTGTTTTAGCACGTCACTAGTGACATATTTTGATTCGTCTGACCATATCGTCAACGTAAAAGGCAGTTCAATAGATGTTTGATTTTTGTTTACTAAATGCTTGATTTTTGTCCACTTCGACTGCATCTATAGTCTCCGTGTGTTCCGAGACCAACAATCTCATTTTGAGACCCCACGAACTGCATCCACAACAGCTAGAAACTGCATTATTTAACTCAATAATGTTATCTCACAGTATAATTTAGTAATGAAGGAAAGGAGCAGAAATTCAAGGCCTTGTCGAACACAATATGCCGATTAATAGTAGGATCTAGTAGTAAAAAAACACTAATGTTGCAAGTTTCCAGTATGGACGAATAAAAATTCTTGCAAGGTGTGTGCACAGACTTCTTCAACTACTTAGATATTTTTTGTCTACCGCGATCACCACTCGAAGTGTAAGCGTATAAATTTTGGACACCTGCTGTCTTGTTTCTCGCCGAAAGAACTTGCAACAACGGTGTATTGGCAAATGTTGGCACAAATAATAAAATTTATGCCAGGATTTCGCAGGTTTCACCTGTTGATGCAGTTTGGTACAATTACCACCGATATTACATTACTGCTTCTGTTGATAATGAACAATATTGGGTGCATGTTAAAGAAAAAAAAAATTTAGTATCTGCACTCTTATATGATTGTATCATGAAACATAAAACCTTCATTAATCAATCAATCAGTGCTGTCAAGCTCACACATGCAATACGCTCACCTTTTTGAGGATAATGTCAATGTAGCCTGCAATAAGCTGCGAGATCTGCTCTCCCTCGGTGGTTTGCACAGAGTAGTACGACTCCGAATAGTCCCCAAAGTCCTGCAAATGGTCGTATCTACTTTTGTAGAAAATGACACATCTTCAAAGAAAGCTTTCATGCATCAATAAGACTTTATAACAAAATGAACATTGTTTAGGGCATTGTAGAACTGGACATGCAGATGAGGTTTAGTAACAAAACAAGAGATGCTTTTGGTGGTGCTTATCAATAGCATTATACAGGACGATACCATGAACTCCAACTTAACTGCAAGCTGACTACATTTTGCACAAGAATGCACAGCTCTTTGAAAAGGAATGGAGGTGGTGGTCTAGAGTGCTCTGGGGCTGCTCTCGCAGCAGAAACTGCAGACTTTGGAGCAGATGAATTGCATTTCAGCGCAGCTTAGTAAAGCAAGACATCATCAAAATACACGTGCAACAAGATCAACAAACTATTTAATTCATCTCAATTTACCGGTGCATACCTGTATCCGAAACCAAGGCAAAATATGCCTATACTGAAATATCAAAACATGTTGTATTCCTCAACCATGAGAGGTCTTTTACACTACTTTGTCAAAATATGAGCCATTATTCTAACATGGATAGTAAAAAATGGAAAATGCATAGTGCCCCAAGACAAGGACCTCTCCATTCCATTGTCGTTTCAGGAAGACTTCACAGCATGGCGGTGATAAATCAACAGGAACGCACGCCAACAAAGGCTGCGCTTCATCACCTAAGTGATTCTGACACCGTGGCAGCGATACAGCTCTGGTAATGTGAAGCTGCTGTGTCATACTGTATGGCACAGCTCCTAATACGGTTATGATATCTAGAGTCAGCAATATTAAGTGCACCTGAAAGGGTCTTTATAAACTGATAATCATGGGGAAAAGAATAAAGTTTTTTGAAATATTTTTGTAACATAAATGGTTTGCAGTTAGTGCTGATTAACCTTTCCACGTGTTGGACTAAAATTTTTGCCCTATAGCAATTGACATCCCCAAGAGAACTTATACATTGACAAAAACAAAAGAAAACACCCCAATGCAACTATTTTGATGCCGTTAGGCTACTGAACACCAATGAATCAGCAGATAGGCACGTGGATTACATTCCTAGTGGCTCCTAATCATTCATCAAAAATAGTTAAACATAGTTCAAAAAACAAAATAGGTCAACTACGTGCCTCAAAATTAGCTTCATTTCTTTCCATTCATTATACCCTTACTCACTCTGCTTGTTTAGGGCAACAATTCCTCAAGCTATCACTGAAATATTTTTTGCTAAGCGAGGCTAAATCGGTGATGGAAGCAACATTTTGCTTTCTGAAGCAGATTCTGGAGCAACAAAAATGGTGCTTTGGAGCAGCCTAAAGTGGCTTAGGAGCAGAAAAAAATGCAATAGCTTAGGGTAGCTATTGGTGTTTTCTGAGCAGATGCATCTTCTTAACGACTCCTGAAGTCTAAAACACCACTTAAGCATCTAATAAATATTTATATATATTATTAAACATGCCATATGCTAGTATACAGCTAGTACACAAGCAGTATAGTTGGTTTAAATCATAGGCGGGGGGGGGGGGGGGGTCAAGAGAGTTTGGATTTCTCTGGTGTTCAGGCTGGGAAGGATACCCTTTGCAGGTGTCCCACTCGAGATTTAGCTTTAGCATGTGATATAATTGAGTTAACAGTTAAGTATAACACAATCAACTTTTTAAAAGGCTTTTAATCTTTTACTGCGTACATATCTTAAATGCCGCTCAGCTGTGTGAACAATGTAAATCGAAAAAAGGTAAAAAAAAAAAGACTGAGTAGAACAATGCAATTGCTCGAGCTCGAACCCTATGCTTTTTTTTTTTATTTTATTTGAAAGCATGCTTTATTTCACATATAAATATATAGACAACCCATATTAAAAATATTATTTAGACACCATGGCCTGATATGTGTCAACCCTTGAGATTTTTCTGGATTTACGCAACTGAGTAGCATAGCAAGATGATAGTGTATACAGCTTGCTTCTGGTTTCGCTTAGGCTCCCGGGATGGTCCCATGGTTCAACTTCATTCTTTTTAGTTTGCCAACATCCTTTCCGAGCAGTTACTAGCAAATTTTGAACTTTGGAGCAGCATGAAGCAGCATTTCTCTTTTGGAACACTTTGGAGCAATAATAGCAGCACTTTCATCACTGCAACACTTAAAAGACTGCAAGCAGATTCTTTGTTCTTCCATAGAAATTTAAAATTGTTTATTGTTCTTGTTCTTCGTAGCCACACTGTAAACACTTAAATTTTGTAAAGTTCCTAGATTGTAAGCTTTGCTGATTTTCAAAAATGCTCCCCGCACTTCAATCCTCATGCATCCTGCTTTCTACTCACGCATTAAATCTTTTCTGGCGATTTATTTCAATATTAAAGTGTTTTATGGTAGGGTCAAGCAAAAAAAAGTGGCTCTTGCTCAGTAGCACTGCGAGAAGTCGTCACAGCAAACTGCGTACAAACATATGAAAGAGAAAAATCACAAAGAAAAGTTACACTGATGGGGTAAGCAACTTCTCAGTCGGCAAAAAAGTGCCAGCCGTTCTTCCCACATCTTTGGAAATGCATCTCAGATCTGTCGCACCCTTTTCCCTCTCGCCGCACACACAGTTGGAAGCCGCAGTTCCACCATCAAGGAGGAGTGCAGTAAATGACCATGGCCTCAGAGGAAATGTCATGACACTAACCAGCACCAACAGCAAGGCTATCAGTGAAATGCACTACAGCCGAATGTCGATAATTCGAACTAGAAGAGGCCTGAAAACTTGTTCAAATTAAAAGAAGTTCGAATTAATGAAAGCTAAATTAACAGAGGGCTTTCCATCGGCATTGAGCTAACACACGAGAGGGAAGTTATGAAGACTTACATTTATTCACATATCACAAGACATCCGTTATTAATTGAAGTAATCGATGACGCACGTCTGCACACGTTTGCCTTGCAGAGAGTCGATCAATTTCGCACGCAGCTTGCAAAGCATTTCTACTTTGGCTTCAGCGTTCTCCTGGCAAGAGAAGTTACACACCCAAATGTCCAGCGCCGACACTTACTAAAGACGACAACAATAATGACTGCGTAGCGGGGCCTCCCGCTCTCCGCTACGCAGCCGCAGCATGGCCAGCACGTGGCGAGAAAGGAGGCTCCATGCGGAGAGAAGCAGATCGGCATTTGAGAGAAAACCAACACTCCACGGCAGCTTTTTTTTTTTGCTCTGTTTGTAAACAGCGTTGAAAGAAGAAGGATTATGTGGCAGAAAAGAGAAAGGGGAAAGTGTGGCACCAGCGCGTGAGAGACCCCCCTCCATCCCCTTACTCAAAGCGCAGAGCGGTGCTCCCGCAAGGGGCAAGGGCTGCAGAAGACAGCGCCTTTTTCCTTTCCTTCAACCACACATTCATTCAACCCAGCGACAGCTTTTTTTTTCCTCTCTCTCTTCGCGTGCGGCGTTGGAAGGAGAAGGGACATAGCAGGAACCAATGTTACTGGAACGAAAGGGGAGAAGCGTGACACGGGCGCGTCCCAGATCGGCATTTGAGAGAGAGCAAACATTCCACCGTAGCCTTTTCTTTCCTTTTCATTTCCTTCGCGGGCAGCGTTGAGGTGTCGCAAGTGCCGCCGCGGGATTGGGCGGAGTGCTGAGAGCATTTTCAGAGTGTGGTATGTTCGTACTAACCGCCGGAAGTGCTTGGACATTTGAATTACCGGGTGTTTTCGTCCATTGGAATACACATAGCTTTGAGGGGACCTCATTGTGAGTTTCAATTTAGCATGTTCGAAATAATGAGATTCGACTGTATGATTCAATTCAGTGACAAGGCACATGCTTTGCCTTTCATGTCATTTCAGTGTGATGGCATGTTTTTCTGCGCCTCCCGTTTCAAGCACAATGACAAGGGAGACTGCTGCATTCTCGTATGTGACATTGGTATGTGAATCTCGTATGTGACATTGGTAAGCCGGCGTAAAACCTTGTAAGGCCCCGAGTAGCGAGACAGGAGCTTCGAAGAGAGGCCAACATGGCGGCATGGTGTCCAGAGGAGGACCACTGAACCTGGAAAGTAGGAAACTACTCTGTGATGGCTATCGTAGCAGGCCTTCTGAGAGAGCTGCGAGCCAAGAAAACGTTCCCGTGCGATTTGGCGGGCCACTTGAGCCCGAGCTGTGGCATCCCGGGCATACTCTGTAACCGTTTGCGTCGTTGATGGGAGAAGAGTCTCGAAGGATAGCGCTGGATGGCGGCGGAAAAATAAATAGAAGGGGGAGAAGCCAGCGGTGTTGTGGCGTGCCGAATTGTACGCGAATGTCACATAAGGCAAAGTACTATCCCAATCAAGGTGATCTTTGGAAACGTACATGGAGAGCATCGTTGTCAATGTTCAATTTAGGCGCTCGGTAAGACCATTTGTTTGTAGGTGATAGGCCGTAGTGAGCTTGTGACGCGTCAACCACAAGCGAAGGATGTCACTTACTACTTTTGAAAGGAATGAGTGACCACGATTAGTGAGCAGCTGTCGAGGAGCGCCATGGTGAAGAATTATGTCATGAAGCAAGAAGTCCGCGACGTCAGTGGCACAGCTCGTCGGTAGCGCTCGTGTGATAGCGTATCTTGTGGCGTAATCAGTGGCTACGGCTATCCACTTGTTTCCAGTGAGAGAAGTTGGAAATGGTCCAACGAGATCAAGACCGACGCGGTGGAAGGGAACGGTGGGTATGTCTATTGGTTAGAGCGGACCAGCTGGTGGCAAGGTGGAATGTTTGGAGCGCTGGCAGAACTCACATGCAGCAACGTATCGGCACAGAGAACGGTAAAGGCCTGACCAGAAGAATCTACGCCGCACGCGATCGTACGTGCACGTGACCCCAAGATGTCCCGCGGTTGGGACGTCGTGAAGCTGTTCAAGTACAGCGGAACGGAGTGTCGCAGGAACTACGAGTAGTCGCTCTGGTCCTTGGGCGCTGGTGCTGCGTCGGTAAAGAATGCCATCGCCTAGAACGAACAAGTGTAGCGACGGGTCT